AAGTAAGAGGTACATTATAAGCATTAAAGTTGAAGAGTGGGGGCTCGCTACGTCAAAACTGTAAAAAAAATACAAAGGTGTGACATCATGCGACATTTTAACTCAATGTATCGATGTATTTTATTGATTACGCAAAAAATATAAATAATACCCGTTCAATATTCTTCAATAATTTTCCTGACGAACAGACAAACAAAATAAATCATCATCTCTATAGATATTGACAGCCTCAAGCAAATTAGATTGACAAAACAATCTATTGAGCGAACATGTGCCAGCTTGTTTTTTAAACTTTCTCCACGTGAGTTGCGCTCGGTCTTGCCTACAACGAACGTGTTACGTTACGACTTAAATGTCAGCATTAAAATCAGCATAAATTGTTGCTGATATTAGAAACAATACTGATAATCAATTGATATATGCAACAACCACAGAACTCAGAAAGAAGTTAGAAGGGCCTTGTGGGCGTGGCAGTGTAGCCACGATCCTGGACAAATGTACAGGATCGTGACCACCACGCGATAGCGATGTTTAGTTATTCACGAACGCGCGCGCTGCAAGTACTATGAAACACGCCACTAAAAGTGTTAAAAATGCTTGCGCAGTTATTAATGCAAAACAAGAAGCCCATCCTCAAGTAGGTTCAAAGGAAGGATTTCTTTCCATTAGTAAGTAGAACACTTCTGAAAAGCGTGAATCACAAAAAATAACGAACATCGCGAAATCATCGTTTTAAATAGCAACATATTAGATTACGGTAGATGGCTAGTGAAGTGCCTGGAAACATTTAATCGAATCTTGGTGTGTTAGTTAGTAAGAACTTAATAAAAGTAAGGACGACAAAAATAGTGGTAATAAAAAATAAATTTAATCAGAGATTAACAATAGCAATAAATAAAATTTAACCCTATTCTTAACTACCATATTGACTTCGTTTGGTATACGTTTGTATATTAATTTAATAATGAGTGTGGTAATAAGTCTGTTTTTAATATTCTTAATGTTGTAACAGAAAATAAGTTTTTATTTTTTTATTTTGAACCATTAACAACAATACTTTTTAAATTAATGGAATCCTTTCGGAATAAGTTCCAATAGCATTTATTGTACTAATTCTATTTTTTTTATTTTGTAAATATAGATATTTATTTACATTATATTGTTTGTTAATATTACTAGTTCCATTTATAGCCTGACAAATACGAGAAAAACGGAAATAATTCGATATAAGCCTGGAATATTTTTAATCGAGTTTGTGAGCCAATTACTAGAGACTATATTTAAGAATCCATCTCATTTTAGCTACGGGAGGTATAAAAAAAAACATCAGATCAAAAAACCTTCAATTATTCACGCAAAATTATTAACACGATTTTTTTTACAAATTTTGCTTTTATTTATCACAGCGACAATGAAAATTACTGAAATCCAATAAAAAAAAATACAGGAAATAGTGATTTTTATTAAACTTAATTTTTTACTTAATTTTTTTTTTTGTTGTAGTTTAATATTTAAATATTTATGAATGGATTTTAATGATATTTAGTAGAATATGTGTTTCACTCAAAAGTCTGCTGCATATCATATATTGCGTGTTATATACCAATATTCCACGGGAATATTGGTATGCAATATTCCCATTCCCGCCGACAACGCCAACATCGATACCAGCAACACAAGCATTGAAGCCAGTTTCAACCCCTTTATTCGTATCAGCATAGGTGATTGTGCTGGTGCTGTATGTAGAAGAGAAAAAGGAAGCCAATGTATTGCATATCTCAGGGCCTGTAGTAGCTGTAAAATTTTCATGTGTAATTTTACATGGAAATGTGCTGGAGTTGTTTCTTTTTTGTTTAACGAATGACCAAAACAATTTTGGGTTACTTTTAATAGAGTCTTCCATCAACGAAATGTAATTTTTATAGCACTGTGTGGCTAAAATGCTGCATCTTTTTCTTAATGTTTTAAATGTCAATTTATCTAGTGGGTTTTTATATTTTATAAAGCGAGCGCGATATTTGTATTTCTCTTTTAATAGCCGTTTCAACTCAGCTGTGAACCATATTGGAGTTTTATTGAACTTAGCTCGTGAGTTGGGTACATATGCCTTTATAGCGTCATTTAAAATTTTGTAAAATTCATTAGTCATTTCGTCTACTGACCTATTTGAACTTAAAATACTACTCCAATCAAATTCGTCGAAATACTTACAAATTTTGTCGTAATCAGCTTTATGAAATTTCTTCCTTATGCAATCGTTATTGTTTTGTAAATTATTCGCATAATCTCCTATGTAAATCGAAAATTCCAGTGGCGGATGGTGATGATCAATAATACTAAGAGGTGACGTGGAACTAACTATGTGGTTTATTGGTAAATTTGTTAAAACTAGGTCTAAAATTCGATTATTTTTATTTGGTACATAATTATATTGATTAAGATTATTGTAACTGATAAAATCGATTAAATTCTGTGTATTGACGCCAGAATCAGTGGTATATGGTGTAAGTGGTTTTCCCTGAATACCCCTCCACATTATATGTCCTTGATTAAAATCGCCACAAATAAGGATATATTTATAATTACTATTACTAATCACTAAATTCGCATTGTCAAAGAAATGTTGCAAAGTATGGGCGGGTGTAGGTGGAGGTAGATAAATAGCACATAACAATAGTTTTTCTAACTTACTGTTTATCCTAATGTCAATTTCTAACCATATATCCTCGCATTTGCTATCATAATTTGTAATTCTGAAAGAAGAAATTTTTTTTGAGATTGCCACTAAAACTCCACCCCCATCCTTTGTGTTATAAAATGAACTTGATTCACGATCACGTCTATAAACGTTATACCTATCACTAAATAGCTCCGAGTCTTTTATACTAGTGTTCAGCCAAGTGTCACTTAGTATTATAATATCGTAGACAGAAAGGGAGGTATACAAAAATAAGTTATTTGTTTTCGTACGTAAGCCTCTTACATTTTGATATCCGATGTTTATACACTTATTAGAAGTCATTTTTAACGATAAAAAATAAAGATACACTTATAATGTTATTTATTATAAACATATACATATAAACATCAAATGTGTTGTTACTTAAGCTTATCTAAAATATCCTTATTCCGGACAAAAATGGACTCGGAAGTTTCTGTTTTGCGAATATAAATACGCCCGTTACGCACCCACACATATTTATAGCCAAGCTCCTTTATACGGCTGCGCGCTGCGGCATGAAGAGATTTATTTTCTGGAGAGAGGTTCTCACTCACGTAGATAGGACTTACTTTGGAAGATGACAATCCCAAGTGTTTCGAATTCAGCTTATTATCGACGTTATCTTTATTAAATTGTATAGCGGCTGCCAAGAAGCAATCCCTCAATCGTGGCGTGCTAAATTTAATTAATATTGAGCGAGGACGTGGGTTGCCAGGTTGAAGTTTTGCAGTGCGAGAACAATATATAATTTCCTTTTCCTCCACACTACACTTTATAACCTTTCCAAGTTGTTTCACTATACTTATAATGTTCTCTCCTTTATGCTCGGGAACACACTGTAGTTCTAAATTACTTGAACGAGATATTTGGTCGAATTGGCTAAAACGTAACTTCAATACCTGTAGTTCAGAGTTTAGTAGGTCATTATTCTTACGTAGGGACTTTAACTCAGTATTAATAGCGTTCATGTCTGTTTTAAAGTTTTCATAACGCTCATTAAGAAATTCCAAATCATTACTCTAATATACTTTCAATTAATCGACTTGTTGTTTTTCAATATTGATAGTAAATAACTTTATGTCAATCACTTGTGTGATATGTCAAATTAAAATGGCTTTTACACGTTTATATAAGAGTGCGCTCTAGATGTCTGTTATGGTTGAGCGTGATTAGTTATATTGGAGCGTTCTGATTAGCATGTTTAAAATGCAAGTGTGTGCATATCTTTTGTATAATTGGTCTAATATTTCGTCTGACGTGCGGCGGACTAAAAGTGGGGCGTAACTGGCGATATCGGTTTTCGTACAAGGGATGCATGATCGCCTTTCTAACCTCTTTTCCGTGTTCTGTGGCAACAACCCCGCTCTCTACATACAAGATGGCAAAAAGTTATCAAACATTATGGTACCTACATACTTTAAATGTAAATAAAAGTATTTTGCAAGTTATAAAATTAATTAAAAAATGTTTTGAACTTTCATATAAAATACGAAGAAACTTTTTCCCTCAACATTTCAAAAATATAATATAAACCAGAAAGTATACCATTAGCGAGAGTCTTATCTTTAAATAATTATAAATAATTATATTTCAAACTTTTTTTTACATCACAATTCTAATGGAATAACCATTGATATGAGTTAAATGCTTTTGGTTCACAGACTTTCTACGATAAGCCTTCAGGAAAGTCTTACATAATTTCGGGTCCTAGACCATTGCTAAAGTTTCTAGTAAATTATTTTTTACTCCGGAACTCTGAAATTGCGGTTTTCTTGATTCTGGTTTCCCAATTCTACTATGTTTACTTTTACACATTATAATCTTAAATAGGAACGAGCCTAGGATTCAAATTAAGATTCGAGGAGCTTTTAAGTTTGTCCACTAATTTGTACGAACTTTCCTTTTAAAAATTATATGTGTATTGATAATGATTGTTTTATCAGTGATAGCGTCATTCATCAAGATTTTCATACAAAATGCCAACATGAATGCTCATGCCATAGCCCCGTTCTAAATGTTACCGAACAAAATATGTAATTGGCAATAATAGACCAAGATTTGGGGGCCGCCAGACATTAGAAACTAATTTTAAATGCGTAGGATAGAGTGGTACTAGTAAATACTTAGGTCGTATCGTATGCCTATCTATAATACTATTCAAGTAGGTATACAATAACACGTCTCCATTCTACCCATTTTGTCAATAAGCAAATAAGTAATATCTGGCGGCCCTGGGATCTTGCCTTATAATTGTTCTCAATTTTTTTTTACTTTTTAGGTTTGACGACGTATACACGATGAATGCGGGTGAAGATGAATCATCGTCTGGTTTAAATGGAAGGCTAAGACCTAGAAAAAATATTGTCCTCGGCCCCCAAACTAATAAATGTGTGCGCAAATCTGACGGCAAGTCACAAGACAGACAGAAGCGAACATCTACCCCATCCAAGGCGTCTTCTACCAAACCAGATGATCTCTCTAATAAGCCTGATGAATCTATTACCCTGCAACTGCTTTGCCCCTACTGTGATAGGACATTCGCATCTAAACAAGCGATATCCAAACATGTCCGCCGCATTCATTTTTCAAGTTCTAAGCAGGACCCTATCTTTAACTGCCTTTTCTGTAATCATGCTGTGCCAGATTCCAAAAACATCATTGGACATATGGTGGACAGTCATCCAAATCAATACTTCGCTTGTTTGGACTGTCACACACGTTTTCCTTCTACGACAGAGTTGGCTGAACATAAGCTTAATGTTTGTGACAGACATAAAATGTCCTATCGCAACAAGTTGCGACAAAAAACCTCATCGGGGGCGAAGAAGAATCAAAAGTCCGTTAATGTAGACGATAAAGATGGTAAGAACTACAATGATATGAACCGATTTAATGGAATTGTAATATCTTGTGAGCTAAAACCTTCTGAAATAACCGATAACGCAGATATTGAAGACAACATTACAACGAATCTAATCTTACCGCCCAGCAAGAATCTAGGTACTAATGCTGAAATAGAAAAGAACGCTGTAATCGTACTGGATGATTTACAATGGAGCAAACGAATGCCAGCTAACTTTTCGTTCCATAATACTGATGCAGATCAGATACTTTCCAGACTAGGCGTAGTACACAGGTCTCCACGAAACAGTGAATTTGCTAAAAAAGATTGGCTCAAAAACATTGACGAATCCAACCAAAAATTCGAAAAATGCTTTGATACCAGCTTCTACTCAAAAGTTGCCAGTAACGTACAAGAAAATTTGAGCAAGTTTCTTGACGGAACGTTCAACTTCAACCCGGATGCTGATACTACAATCAAAACAAGAAAATTAAAAAACAGTGTTGTCATTAATACTGCTGAAGGTTTCCCAATCCTGTTAGCATGCGAACAATTTTCAAGAACCACGTTTGATGGGTATCTTCCAAGAACGATTGCACCAAAACATAAGTGGAAGTGGGATAACGAAAAACATCTATTGAACCCGGATGACATAAAGCGTGATTCGCATGTTAATAATTGCATCATAACTTTGGTGTCTAGCTTAGACATCTGGACGCAGTTATGTATGAGACGTAAATTTGAAGACAAATTCAGTATCGCTCCGTTGGAGAAAAAAACTGAGAAACAAAATACAATTAGCAAGGAATTAAAAGAAATCTTAGAAAGTCGAGAAATACCATCGTCTTCATCACATGTAGTGAAATTTTCAGCTAAAGCGATGCCTCCTGGTGATAGTCTAGACTTCCCGGCATCATTAGGACTGCGTCCATCTATGGCAGCGTACGACTTACAGCCGGCGGTGTTGAGCGGCGAATGGGTGCGACCGAGGTGCTATGTCTGTTGTGCTTGCGGAGCTCAGACAAGAGATTCACGTGGTCTTTCATCTCATATAACAACACATCACCCTAATGCCCAGGTGCAACATTACGAAATCGTGGGAGAACTTCTTTTAAATGCGGATATACTAAAGCATCTTTATGTACCCCCAAGCTTATTGAGTAATAGAACTCGACCGTTGAGAGGATTTCGCGAGTGCACGAAATGTAAAAAGTCGATCACTTTAGAGGATCTCCATCAGCATATGTTGGATTGTGCAGGCGACACACCAACAGTCCGTCGGAAATGTCGACATCGTCCTTTCGGTGTACGTAGGAGGCGTCCTCGTTTACCTGACAACACAATTCGAAAGAAGATAAGGAAAGATATAAGGAGACAAACAAGGCAGCAGAAGAACCTTATGAGGCCACGACCTAAGATTCGTACTGAGGTTGGTGATGGTAAGTAATGAAATAAATATCAACTAAAATAATTGTTGCTTGTAAAAAAAATGTATTCTATGATAATATTTCTATCAAACGGTGACGATATGACTATGCGTGCTGTTTTTTTCATTTATTAAGAAATCGTATATATTCCATTACAGTTAGGTTCATGATGCATTTCATAAAATATTTTCATAGTATATGCTTAGAAATGCAAAACCAGTAGAGTAATAGAATCTATAGTGATCTTCTAAAAAGTACTTATAAGTATTTCTTTTAATTTAAATAAGCCACACTAAAAGTATTCAAAATGTAACATGTGTTATTGCCTTAAAATTAAATCAAAAGGTAAACTTTTTTTGTACCCGCAAAAATGCTATAGACAAAACAGATGCGTCGAGTATTAATATACAGTCTAACCATCTTGCTATAAAAATATATGCATATTTTACGATTTAAGAACAGCGTTATCTTGTTATCTAGTCTGTTTTTAATCTCAGTTTAGTTATGAGGTGGTCAGAAAGATTGTCACCTTATAACTATAACACCCCTATTTTTGCGTCGGGGGTAAAATCGGCAAAATAAGACAATCTTAATTATTAATAAACCTTTCTCAATACAATAATTCAATATTATTATTTTAAACACTAGGAATTTATTTTAAAAATCGAAGTAATTGCTCGGTCGGCTGTCGAAATTGAATTAATATCTTTTATATAGGCAGCAACGAAGAATTAATCATTCAAATATTATTTATGTCATTATTCTCCTCAACCTGTTAATGTTCCCTACATTAATAGGCTTAGGTAGGAGAATAGTTGAAATAGACTAACTATATGAAGTAGGGTAGGGTAGTGTAGGACTGTCGATGTAGCGAGCTTATGAAGTCTATCGATAATAATATTATGAGGAAGAAATAATTGTTTGTTTCCATCAAATAGACTTTGAAACTACTGGACTGATTTAAAAAATCATTCACTTATGGGAAGTTTTATCGTTGGTGGGTGACAATAATAATCATGAGTGATTAATATTATTATTGAAAAATAACCAACTACTTTCGATTGAAATTCGTTTTTAAAACATTGTCGATTCATATAAATTCAAAAAGCAAAGTAAGTTTCCAATAATGTCTAACTGACTTGGTGAGTCCTGGGTAATATAATTAAAATTATTTTATCTCTCATAACTTAATTAGATTTTGCATTATTTAAGATTTTTTTTTTATCAGTACCTAACAAGAATATTTCATTTTTTATATGTTCTCCAATGCTAGATGCAGGTAGCAAGGTCGAGGCTAGACCATATTTATTGGCACTCAATACTATGTATTAAATTGTGTTAAGTGCTTTAATGTTATAGGTGTTCTAACAATTTGTTACATTTTTCAGCGGAGACCATTCGAAAGATGATAGCTGATTTACCAGCCAAACGTCATCGAGTTATGGTAAATCCTTCAAATCCAATATTACGACCGAGAAAAAAATTGGATCAGCAAAGAAGCAAATTAATTTTGAAAAGACGTCCTCCCGAAATGTCAAAGACACGTAAACAACAAGACGATCGGAATGTTAAAAATCGTGCTCGATTAGTTGCAACTATAGAAGATAATGATGATAAATCTAGTAAAGACGATGACGATAAACCCTTGAAACCAAGAATAAAGAGGTTACTAACAAAAAACTCAAGACAAAAGGAATCATTGAAGCGAAAGGTGGTATTAAATAGAGCTAAAAGGAGAGCTCAACTCAAAGAACAAATGACGGTCCCTGAGACCGAAGAATCAGAAAATAAACCAAACGAAAACCAAAGCACAGAACCTGCAGATACAACTGTTTGTTCGAGAACTGCATCTATTGAACAGTTATCAATTGGTGGCACTTCTCAAAAAATTGATCTCAACAATAGTCCTTATCAAACAAGAGAACATTCAGGTCGCGGTAGGTCTAATAATAATGACCAACATAGACCGGGCTCTAGTGAACAGAATGGAAATATAAATAATGCATTCGCGCCAACGTCAAATGAACCGCTTAAACATTCAATCGCCCGATTAACAGCAGATACAGATATTTACGATAAATCATTACATTTTCACCATCAGATGTTTTTATTACAACAAGAGTGCAATAGTATTAATCAACATGTACCTGTGGGACAACAACGGTTATTTGAAAATGAAGCAGTGGTTACCAAACTTGATAAACCGCCTTTACATTTCCAACGAGGGATGTTAGATCCTTTTGCGTTTCAAAGAAATAAACTAAATAGACCAAGAAAGGGTTTAAATGACTGTATTGCAATGTTAAAAAATAAATTGGTTGAACCAATCCTTACAAATCAGTCAACCCAATCTGTGGAATCTGGAAGTGACGATTCCTTGATGTGTCAATCTGCAACTACTAATCGACGCGTACCTGATGCCGAATATCAACTTCAAGTAAACACAAGGCCTGCCGAAATATTTTCAAGACATCATTTTATTCAAGACAGGCTTATACAGCTACGAAATGAAAGTAATTTAATGCATCAAAGTTTCACTGATATTCCTTTGCATTTCTTATCTGCACAAAATATGTATGAAATACCACGTCGGGGTAATAAAATTGAAAAGGTCAAAGTGTCAAAGCAGAAGCAACTACCGGGACCTAAACGAGAATCTACGAGGAGAAGATCTACACGTTCTGAGAAAGATAATGTGCGAAATAAGAAATATGTTTTGCCTCCACACATTGAGTTGATACAACAGAAATCTAACGAAAATTACAGTGCAAAAGTCTCACCTTTGTCTAAATTTGATTCTGTACTTTTCCAAAATATAGAAAACAATTCAAGGCGGGATTCATCTAAACGCAAACAGAATCAATCTTGCATGCCAACAGCATTACATCAAAGAAAACAGCGTGACACAATCTGTTCGGCATTAGAAATAAAATCGCATTGCATTTCTAATGACGCTCAATTATATGAAAACAGACACACAGGAGCTAGCAAACATCATTCTAAACATGTAGAAATACGTGAGCGATCTCCTATCAAACAGGTTGAAAGTTGTATTCAATCAAAACAGGTTGATATTTATGTTCAACCTCAGCTTAAACAGACTGACACTTGTCCTCAATTTCAAATGAAAAAGGCCGATGACTTTACACAATCACAGCTCAAACAGAGTGACACTTGTCCTCAATCTCATATGAAAAAGGCAGATGCCTTTACACAATCACAGCTCAAACAGATTGACACTTGTTCTCATTCCCAGATGAAAAAGGCCGATGCCTTTACACAATCACAGCTAAAACCGATAGACCCTTTTACGACATCACAATTAAAACAGACGAACATTCTCATGCCATCGCAATTAAAACAAGCGGAAGTCTTTACTCCATCGCAACTTCAACAGGTCGAGGCCTACTTACCATCACAAATAAAACAGGCTGATGTATACATAAAACCTCAAGTAAATTCTACTGAATCATACTTACAAACTCAAATACCAAATCAAAAACCGTCTGCTGCGTATACAGAATGCAATTTTAATAAAATGACTCCAGAGACCTTCCCGGAATGTGAAGTACCTAGAATAATAATAACAACTCATGAGCTTTATCCTGAAAGCAACTTTGATTCCATGGGAGTTACACTTACGGCAACGACTTCAGGTTCAAACAATTTAGATTTGGTTTTACCTGTACCTTTGGATCTGTCGGTGACTATTAATGACAATACAGAAACGTCAAAACAAAATAGCTCATATGAGTTAAATGATTATGATAGTTATGAGACTTTAGACTTGTCAAGTAAAAGTGTGGAAGAACCAATAGATGACATTAACGACGGTATAGTCGATTTGCGTGTAAAAAGCTGTGACAAATCGCAGAAAGATTTAGGGTTGGCGACTAAAAACGATGACATTGACATAGAAATCGCAACTGATTTGACAATTAAGACTCTGGAAATGGATAATATACCAACGGATTTAACTGTTAAAAAGAAAATTGTTGCCTATGAGTACGATTACAGTTGTGTGCAAGATCTTTCTAAACATGACTTTAATACCTGTGAAACCTCTGCTAAAATTTTGCCCATTGCTGAAAATGATATTGTTCAAGACATACCTACTGATTTGTCGGGGAAAAAAGGTTTAGAGCACTGTCTAAATATAAAAGACATACCTAATGTACCAGACAATCCAAAAGATATACCTTGTACTGATGAAGATTTAAGTAACACATGCCCAGCCAACTTATCTTCAAATAAAGATTTGGGTAATCAAATAAATCAAGAAAATTTTGTCGAGGAAGAGGTCGTTATTACTGCCGAAAACTCTGAATCAGAGATAGATGTTGAAAAAAGTCAAGATAGCTACGATGTAAACGAAGTTCAGTCATATATCATTAACAGACAAGAACCTTTCATAAATAAAGATTCATATGCCTGCGTCAGTAATGATTCTACTTGTCTGTTAAATAAAAGGCTAGACGATCCTGAGGTAGATACAAAGATTCTTTACAACCAGAGTTCTACAGTAACGACAGCTGATCAAGTGTTAAGCTATGAGAGTGTTCAAACATTGAATAGTCAAGATTCATCAGCATCAATAAACCTGAAAAACTTAACAAAGCCGCAGACTGATTACTCAAGTATGGACAAACCGAAGAATAATCTTATTTGTCTGTCAGATAACGCTATTCCTTTATATACGATGTCAAATACGACGCTGATTTCTACTAGTAAGCATGAGAGTACTATGCCAGTGTACACTTTGGCTAATGCATGTATATCAATGAGTAAAATTGAACCAACACGTAGGGCACCAAAGGTAGAGCCTATCAAATTTCCTGAGTCCATTGATACTAGTTCAGAAGTTTGCACACAAGCTGGTTCGATAAGATTAGAAGATTACTCTGCTATTAAGCTTCAAAATGCCATGTCTAAGTTTGAAAATTTATCGGAGTCTCAAACAAGTGCTATAAACTGTTCTGAAGCAAGGATGGAAACTCAAACTACAATCTCACATATTATTTCAACATCTGTTTCTTTTACGACACCGTCTGTAGAAGTAATGAAAACTGTAGACGACAACTCGCCTAAAATCTCAGATGTTGATACTGAAACTGCGAAGAAAATTGCAATGTTACCAAAAGAATTAGTCGAAATATTAGGTACAATGCCGATTGATCACAGAAATCAATTATTGAATATTCTTCCACAATACGTATCAAAGTCTCCTCCAGTTATTCAATCTAAAGAGAGTTCTATGGGATCATCAACTTTATGTACTGTTATGGAAACATCAACTTTGACATGTCAAAGTAATGTTTTGTCTCACTTGACTGGCGTGGAACAGACATGTCAAGACGAAATAAAACCGATTACACGTTTTCATGCAATGAATGAAACGCCTACAATTGGATTTGATACATATAATCCCATTGCATCAAAAACCCCTGAAATTGACCAAAATCGTATAATAGATTTAACAGAAGATGATCCTACTTTTGAATCTAAGCCTAAAAAACTGATAGAAGAATACAAAAGCAGTGTCACTATTACTATAGATCCACCTTTACCAAAACTCAACAAAACAAAAGTAAATGATCAAACTGCTAGCTTAAGAGCAGTAAGAATTAAAACCGCTTCGGAAAGGAATAAATCAATTTGCATTGAAAACCAAATACTTAAAACAAATGTTGAACAACAAATTAAAATTAATGTTCAAAATTTCCAGAATTTACAAAGTATAACGGAAAGACCTTTGGAAATTGATAAAACAATGGCTATTCAACAAGCTGAGGTAAGCAGCACTCAACATAATACTACTAGTAAATATCCACTCGCGATTTCACCTGCTAGCACTGAATCTAGTAGTGACGAAGCTGGTAAAAATATTTCACAGAAAAACATTATAACAGTTGTAGGCACGGTGCCAGAAAATATTCAGGACAAAATGTACAATGCGTCTTTACCAAAGTCTAGTAAGGTTTCATCATCGATTTCTAATAAAGTAATAAATGAAACTAATGTTGTACCCCTGGTCAACAAAGATGCAAAGGATGCCTCTTCCGTAATTTCCCCAATTCATCATATCGAGCCAATACAAATTTCAACAAATAAAGTAAATATATCTCTGGGGGAACCAGTTATTGCCAGTGTGGTATCTGAACCTGCCGAATGTATTCCAAAGCAAGATTTGAGTCCATTAGATCCAGATGATTCCGAGGATGATGTTTCGCTCGCTGTGATAGTGAAACAAAAACAACAGGATCAAAATAAAAAAGAAGACGTTTTAGAAGAATTGAACAGAGAGATTGATAATAAAAAGAAAAAATACAAGAGAACTAAAAAAAGTAAACAAAAAACTGCGCATAAAACTAGCGACATAACTTCTGATAAAAACGTAAATTATGAGGTTAATAAAACGATTCCCATAAATAATGAAATAAATAAAGTACCTTTATTGGCAACTAATCAAAATACTAATATTGTTATGGAAAAGCCTTTAAAAAAATATATAGATGAAGTAAAGTTAGATCCTAATTCTCAAATAACTATTAGTGATGATAAATGCTATCAAAATTTTCTATCATTTTCTGAGAAAAATACACATAATAATGAAAAAAATGAAGTTACGTTTGATCCAAAGAATAATGAAACTACTATAGACGCAGCTTCTTCAGAAATATGTCAGGCTCATACCAAAGACGAAATTCATAAAAATATCATAGAAAATATTGACGAGGTGTCTTTGAAACCACATAAGAAGAAATGTAAAAGTAAAACTAATTTAAATGCCGACGTTTTACTGAACGGAATTGACAATAACCTCTCTCAATCAGCAGATATAGACAAAAATGAAAAAGGTGGGTCAATAGAACAAAATTTAAAAGCAGATACTCTTGTAAATTTGACTGCAAGTTGCTTGCAAGCAGTAGAAGATATATCTAATATTAAAAGAGACGGCAAAGCTTTTGATTATGTAACACCTTTGTCAACAACATCGATCTCGGATGTGACGGATGGAGATAGTGGTCAGCCTCAAGGTGTAACACATAATATAAGCAGTGAAGTATTAGAGGCAAATGATAAAAAGACTTCAAGCGGTAAAAAAAATAAAACTGTTGACATTGATATCAATGATAAAGATATTACAGATGATAAAGATACAATAATGAACATTGCTATACCACTTCGTCGTAGTAGACGTGGTAAATCATTATTTATGGAAAATACTTCTCTTGAAAAGGAAATAACAAATACTTCAGAGACGACCACAGAAAATAAGGCACCACTGACTAAAAAGCAATTAATATTTTCTAAATTATTACTCGATGAAGGGAAACCAGAAAAATTTTTTTCGGACAAATTAGATCAGTATAAAAAGGAAGATCTTTTGAAGAATGTATCTGAACAAGTTTATAAAGAAATTTCCAGTAAACCCCAAACTGATAGTCATAACGATGTTTTTGAAAGGAACAAAGCCAGTAAACGTACAATATCTCCACATAGTTCTCGGAAATCAAAGAAACAAAAATCATTAGATAACTGTGAGAGTAATTTTAATGACTGTAGTAAAACACAGATAAAGAACCCTCTTGTAGATTCTTTGCCAAATACTAACAATAGTACTGAAGAAAAATCTTTGTCATTAATTGATTTTAAAGAAAATGATAACTTGGTTCCTCATGTTTCTAATGAAGTGGATACATCTTTAGAAGTTAATGTTTATCATAAATATAATGAAAAACCAACGGTTTCTCCAGAAAAACGTAAAATAAACAATGAACTGGCATTTGAGGTCAGCGGAAGTTCGAAACCGAAGAAGTGTAAAACAACAAAAAGAGAAAAACTTGATAATAACATGATGATAGAAGTCGATGATCATATTAAAAATAAAGATGTCAAAACAAGTGAATCTAACGACAGTTGTGCTTCTGGGCCCCGAACAACTTGTTATAATATATCAGCTCCAGCCAGGCGAGGTCGTTCTAAATCTGTCGTAGTAAAATCATCGGGCGCCGATTTGTATGATCCTTATGATATCGACTTGGAAGATATGATTGAACAACATGAATCGTTTAGAAGAAAAAAGAAGAGTTTGGATCATAAATCTGATATAAGTCAAAAGAAAAGCAAAACGAGTGAACGGATAGCAATAGATGAAAATGAAAGTACCACAATTGAAAAAAATGTTACAGTAAAAGGTAAATCTGCAATGAGCGATTCTGATGAGTCTTCTAAAAGTGATATACCTCTACAAAAATATGTTGAAGAAAAAGAAAAGAAAAGCATCGACACTGAAGTATTTTCCACTCAAAAGAGTAATTATGAAATCAGTGAAAGTTTAAAAGAAACTAAATCGCTTAAGCAGTGTTCTAGCGATACAATTACTTTAGCTGAAAATGAAGCGGAAGAAAAATTACGATCTGATCAGTTTATGGAAAGCTTTGGATTCTTTTCAGAAAGAAAACCTAGAAAATCGAACTTATTAGCAACAAAGAAAATCTCTGAGACTTTTCATATCAACAACGAAAGTGATGATATGTATTTTGGTTTTAAAGGAAGGTCATCGAAAAAGAGTTTACAGATAGATAAAGATACTAAAAAATCTTTCGATAATGAAGGCTCTAAGTTGACTCAGCCTAGTACATCTAAGAAAGCTGCTAAACGTGGACGTAAAAGAAAGAGCTGCACAAAAATATTACCTTCCTATTGTGGCGTTTGTAAGAAAGAGTTTCGTCGACCAGATAATTTTCTTAGACACCAAATCACTTTATTACACATATCTAAATTATCAGAGGTAGAATTAAAAGTTAAAACATCTCCTGTTCAAGAAGAACCTAATTATTTAATAGCTTACAAACAATATCTCGAAAGGTTTAAAAAATTAACCGACAAAATATCCAAACTGAAAAGAAAAAATCCTAAGGCAGCTGCAAAAATTGTTTTACCAAGCATGCAAGAAATTCTCAGTGATGTTAATCGTGCCGTAAGAGAGCAACAGTTATCCCAGCGTGGGTTAAGTCATGATGAAGAATTGTTCATTGACTGCTGTGAACTTTTGAAGGAATCTCACAATGGTGATAAAGTTAATACAACAAATGATGTCAAGTCTTCTATGTCGGGCTTAGATCTTTTAGAAAATGTTATTAATGCAAGTTTTTCAAATACTTTTGAGAGTGATGATGATGATGTAGATTCAATAACCGCTCAAAATATTTTAGAGAGTGAAGAAGTTCGAAATCTTGAAAACGATTTAATATCTGGTCTTAAAGAAGCTGCTAACGCTTCTCGTAAATCTTGTAATAATCATTGTCAAAATTCTAATCTCAAAACAGGATCAGACAATCCTAATGATAAGATTTCAAGTCCCAATGAAACTGGCGATCATTATCAAATGACTGATTTTGATATGCCAGAAAAACAGAGAAGTAGCAGAGCTAAAAAACATAGTATTTGTACAGAATTGATTCCAGTTAAAGAAAAAATGTATCCAGATGTTATTGAGGACATAGATATGTTTGAAGATAAATTTGATAAAATCAAAAGAAAATGCAGATCTCAAGCTGCTGCTGCGAAACAAACACCACCGGTTGTTAAAATAACTACCAGGTAAATTAATCACAAAATTGTTCTTTGTTTTACTATCGTTACCTTTTAATTAATATAAATATATTTGTTCCAGCCATAAATCGCGACGGAAATCAGAAAAGAAGAAAGGAAAAAGGAGCTCTAAAAAGACTAGACACCAAAGTACACAAGTACCTACTAAAGGTGCCTTGAAAGGTTTCGACGGCATCAAAGTTTCTATTCCAACGTCTGACATTAATTTGCCATCATTGGTCCCTGCTGTCGAAAAAGATAGAAAGAAAAAGAAAAATAGTTCTAAGAAAAGAAGAGATAAAAAAGATTCAGAATCAAGTGGTAAATATGACAGCGATCACCGTGGAAAAGATAGTGCTATCAGCCATAATAAAAAGTTAGATGTCTATGAATTTATGGATAACGAAGATGCTGAATTATTTGAATTTAGACCGTCTACACTTATGGAGAGGTTTAAAAGTATTAGCAACAAAGAGACACCAAGTACATCCAAATTGACTTCAGTGGTAAAGGATAATTCCAGTGAAAGTGGATCGGATGGTGATGATTTCGTGTATATGTCGGATGATTATGTATGTAGCGACGATGAAACGGAAAATAGTTTACTTTCATGTGAAAATGGAAATGCAAAACTGGGAAATGATGCCAAGAAGAACGTATCGCCACAAAAAAGGAAGGATGTTGTTGAAAAGAATGCTGTGATGGGGAAAATATTTAAGCATAATGCTGTGAGGTCAGAAAAGAAAATTACTGTACCTAAGGATCCGGTCAAGCCTAAGGCAAACCTTGATCAATTATTTGATAGTTTACTAGAAGAAGAACCCAGCACATCAATGTTGAACAGCGAATTAGATTCACCCAGAAAAGATAATAAACAGCTACCTCTAAAGAAACATACTTTGACTTCTTCTACATACCATTCCGATCTGGACTTTAATATGTCAGATGATGAAAAGACTTACGATTCTCATTCACCAGACAGACCTAAATTTGTTACAGCATCTACATCGAAGTCCATAGAAGAGTTTCAAGAACTTGATACTCATCATAAATCTTCTTTAGAAGCTGTGCCTTTAGAGAGCTGTGCTTCTCCCTCATTTATAGATTACGGACCAAGTACGTCTAAAAAATATGACAAACAATTACAGAAAGAATATAAAAATATATCACCAAAAAGTTATGATTCAGTATCATTAAAGAAAAATGAGGAAATGTCTCATAAACACTGTGATACTATGATATCGAAACACAGTGAGGCTTCTACATCGAAACAAGATGAGATCTTTAAACCATTTGATGATTTTAAATCTAAATCATCGGCCAAGAAATTAGACCGATGTGTCAGTTCGAGCTTCGACTACGGTGAGGATATATACGATGCATCAGTATTTGATGAAAGTGGAGTAGCAAGACAGAGAGCACGACGAAAATGCACTGTTGGAAAACAAAACATTTTAGCTGAATCCTGGAGTTCAGAGTCGGAGCCGGATGGCGGACCACAGCGACCTAACAGTGCAGAATCTGTAGTAGCTGGTTCAGGGCGTAAAAAAAAGGGAAAGAAGAAGGACGGTCAGCAAAATACCGGAAAGCGAGGTAATAACCGTCAAATGACTTTTAAAAGGTACGACGTCGGAAGCAGGGTAAATAGTAGTAACCGTAATACGTCGAGTGGTGGTAGCACGGTTGGACCAAGTACCTCAACAGTTGATGATGGAATAACACCTGGACCGAGTGGTTTAGGAAGTAAAGCGTCGGTACCTAGTACATCAGCGGCGGCAGCGGAAGCAGAAGCAGCTGCAGCAGCTGCCATGCCCGCACCTTCTACGTCGCAAGCGCCGACTGCCTCTGGCCAGAAAGGTCGCCAACGGTCCGTTGCCTACTACTGGTCTTCAGAAGGTGACGATGAGCAGGAGCACCAGCAGCAGCACGGGTGGATCGTGGGCGACAGCCATAAAAAATTAGTTACGATGCTAGCACACGCGAAGGGTCGTAAGCGCAACAATGATGATAAGCGTAATTTGGTTGAATAAGGTTATTTAGGTTACTATTATTGTTGTAAATATATTGTAAATAGTTCTTTATATATGTTTCTTGAATTAAAACAGGAGACCTTATAGACCATTAGCCGCTGTACATATGTCTTTTTATCTTAGTTAAATTATGAATGATACTGTGAGGACTGGATTTATTTAATGGATTGTTTAACAGCCCTTACAGTATGTATATTAGTTGAATCTTAAAATTATTTTTATTGGATTTTAATAAATTTTGTCGATGTTTCAAGTCCTCTATTGTACGAATTGATGGTTAATTGTCTACTTTAATTAATATGGTAATTATGACAATCGGACGGGGTACATTAAATGTACAGATTATATGGTGTAGCTAATAACAGTATTCAATATTTACATTGTAATATGTGTAATTCAAATTTTTTTCTGCCATAATGTAATCAAGTTAGGTAATGTTCTACGGCTAACATTTCGTATCAATAATTTTACTTCAACACTATTAGCTAATTGTGACGTTGTTTTACTTCAGTGTCCATTTCAAAGGTGAAGATTTCTAATTTTTATCCACCTTGCGGTGTTAAGCATTCTTGTTCGACTCTTATTCACCATTGCTTATACAAGATAGTCCAAGTTCTATGTGTTATAGCCGTTTATTGTAAGTGCATATTAGTGTTACCGAAATATATTCGTAATTATTGTCATGTTATAGGGCTCTCTTATCGCTACGTTAAAAGTGGCATTTACAATGTGTACATAATGTGAGGTGTTATTTTATTTTACAGTTCCTTCTAGTTTTCGAATTTTATGTCAGTTTTGCCCCGTCTTTCGTTGTTTGACTAACTTTTGGTTAGTTTAAATAAATCATTTGTTGAGGACAATTAGGTATTTGTATCGTCAAAGTATGAGGTATGGCATAATATGATAATTATAAATATTATAAATGTATTTTATTTGGGAAATTTATTATCACCTTAGTTAGCATATCCTGTATCTCCGTATATTATTATTTAACAGGAGGTGAATAATAAGACATTTTAGAAAATTTGAAAATATACCTGGTGTTTGTGCCGTCCTGGCAATATAAATTTGTGAAGGAGTATCAGGGTTGCATCCGATTTTTTTTATTTGGAAGCATCGGTTTACAATTTTTATACACCTGATTTTTCTTGATTTGCTTATTAAGGTGAGTTTTTTTTTAATAGGAAAGTTTGTCTGATACTGTCTGTAAGAGGCTGATAACGTGGTGGGAGTGATGAATTGTGTATTTTTGAGTTGATTCATTTGTTAACTATTTTTATACTTACATTAGATTTGCGTATGTAGTCAATGTTAATTAACATTATAATTATGAAATCTCAATGCATTAGCTATTGTTTTTTTTCTAGTCCAGAAAAATAAAGACTAAAAGCCTCATTATCAGCCTCGGTACCATGTGATTTATCAAATATTTAAAGAAGACTTATTATTTTCTAAATTTACACAAGTATGTTCAGTAGCTTGTGTGTAATGTTTAATTTGTTTATAATTAAATAAACTTTATCCTTAATTAAAGCTCAATGTTTAAAAGTCCGAGTTTCATTCTGATTTCTTTTAAGTTTTTATTAATATAATTTGTAAAATGCTTGATAGTATTATTGTTGCTGGTGGTTAACCTAAGGTTCCCAGGCAACGGGCTTTTTAACATTATGTTAAGGGGGTAACGGACAAAATTGGCTCCATTTCCAATTTGTTAAAAATATTTTTAATACCGGATTACCCTCACGCCTCAACTTAAATCAGAAGATAACACCCGCCAGTTCTCCAGTCTCCTCGTGACCACGGCTGCTGGTAAATTAATAGTTTCAAAATAATGCACGAACAAGACCCGGTTACATATAATTATAATGTATACAAATAGCATGAGTTTAAAAACTATTATTGTGTCCGTAAGTCCCTCCCTCCGTCTTAGAAATTTGAAATGAGTTCTTGCTCCACCTAGGCCCTTATCACTCCTTACGAAATAGAGACAAATAGCCAAGTCACGTAGTTTCGGAGAACAACGATAGATGTTAGTCTGGCAGCGCAACAGCTAGAAGTCTATTAACAATATATATCAAAAAACTTTGCAGGTGAACTAATCCCTTTATCAGTCTGAGACAACGCCCATGAATGGTTGAAGTAAATACCTTAAGAGATAATTAAGAAATACTGTGGCTCTGCTTCTTCATTATTTTATTAAAGCCTATCAGTATTTTTGATATGATTTTCGACGAGGCCTTACAAAAGTTTCGTCTGTCGTTCGCACCATAAATTTAGCGTTTGCACCTATGTATATAAAAGGTGCATACGTTAATTATCAGATTTACGGGCCCTTCAAGACGATTCATCTTTATTTCCAAACCATAGGTTGTATCGCTATTTCTTTTAATCGTGGTAGGTATAACAAAACTTTTTTTGTTAAATATTTGTTCAGAAAGACTGCTTCAAGAAAAGATTATGATGAAATAAATAAGGACATCTATTTTTTTGTTGTCTCTACTTCCATAATATCAATCACCAAGATAAAACAGTAATTCTTATATATCTCTAAAAGTAATTACTTTAGCCATTCATGGGCGCTATGTTCCAGACTGATAAATAAGAGTCCGTCAGTTCATCAGCGCCACCATCTTTGATTTGGAAATGAATACGGAGGGTCAAAATTGCAAATTTAAGTAGTGATGGGAAAAAATATTTCTTGATAATACCTCATAAATTCCCGCCCACTGGGCATCTGGGCATTTTTAACAAAACTAATTTGAGAAATAAACGAAAGTTCAGCACGGTTCAGCTAATTGAGTTATTCGTGTTTTAAATTAAAAAATATACATAATAAAAGTAGACAAATAGTAATAAAAATACATAAATCTATACAAATAAAATAACTTTTCCTTGTTCAATGACTGATTCATCATCATCATCACCAGCCTTTTAATGTCTTCACTGATAGGGCTCGGGCCATCCCGATGGAAGGAATCTAATAGGGAGAATGAGCCATGACCCACCACACGGGCTCAGTGTGGATTGGTGGGTATTATTGACTGCAGATGCAGCCGGCACCAATGCTCGAGAAAACAAATTTTTGGTCACCCATCCTATGATCGGCCATTGCGAAAGTTTCTTAACTACCGTATCGCAGACCGAGCGCGCCAATGCGTTATTGAGCTTTAAGGGTTCATCATCGCCGAGCACAAACTATTGAAGTTTGATTCATGATCTTTAGTGAGTAGCGTTAATTATGGAGAAAACACTCGGAAATTCAACACTTATGAGGATTAGTCAAAAGTTTGTATGAAAGTACATATCAGTTATAAAGTTAGTAACATTATAAATTAATTTTATAGTAGGTACATATTAAAAATGAGTAAATACCTGTTTCTCCGATTTTGGAAATTTTTATCCCTGAGGGAGTAAAAATTTGTGTGAAAGATAGTATTTATTGGTGATAGAGACGTGAAACTTTATTTTCAGACTACTGAATATAAAAGAATAAATACTTGTTCAAGCGTTTGTGAAAATATTACTCCAAAGGAGTGGAATAGAGATTGGAAGTTTATACGGAAGTCCTATGATTATCTTCTTCCAACTCATAATTAATAAGTATTTATTTTTTTTAAACGGTAACCCTAAAATAAAGTTTCAAGTTTCTAATTTCTAAAACTACGGACTTCCATACAAAATTACAACCCCTATTCCAACCATGAAACAAAGAATTCCTTCAATCAATGAATATGATATTTATTATTTGTCATTATAATAAATATCATATTCATTATCAATAAATATCATTTTCAATCAATAGCCCAACAAATTTCATGTTTCTAACTTGAAAAATGACGAACTTCGACGACGAGATTCGAGACAACGACAGACACTCTTTTATTTCGGAAAATAAGCAGGGAAGTCGGCAACACTATTTCTAAATTACGAACTTACATAATGAAATTAATCAAGAATTCCACTATTGCTACCATCTTGAATTATGAAAGACTTTGAAATTCAAAACGATGGAACCACTGGACTATCGATACTGTTCATTAATATTAGATGCTTACATATGAAATTGGCGTTCTGTCGTACTGGCCATTTGGTTCTCCTCTTTGGTTGAGGAAATAATAGAGATTGCCTGTATAGAGCTGGACCAGCTGATTGTACTGAGCGTATATAGACCTCCTTCAAGTTTAGTTTCTCATTATAATCTTTTTGAAACTGTTATGGATGAAGCATTAAAAAAGGTATATAGCAAAGGCAAACGATTAGTGATTGGAGGTGATTTTAACGTTGATTTATTAGGAAACTCCAATTCATGTACAAGACTTGTAAATCTATTTATGACCTATAATCTTGCGCACATGTTTAAGGAGCCTACTAGAGTAACTGCTACTTCGTCCACATGTATTGACAACATTTTTACAGATCTGGTACCACTTTCAAAACAGATAATTAAACAACCACCGTCAGATCATTTTGGACAACTAGTTAGCTTTCCGCATAAATGTACGTTTGTGGCTAGGAGAGACATTACAGTTGTGTCAAAAAGTATGAGTCGCTTGGAACGTTTTAAAAATCAATTAGATAGTAAATTGTATCATTTGAAACATAATAGTAATCCCAATGATTTGTACAAAGATTCCTTTGATGTTTATTGTACAGAATTCAATAAGATTTTTGTCCCAAAAAAAATAAGTATTAGTAATCCTATAACTTTTAGTGTGTGGGCTACACCAGGAATCTACAAAAGCAGAAAAAGGCTCTATAAACTATATGATGAACGTAATTATAACACAAGTGAGGACTTCAAAGAATATGTACGAAATTACTCTAAATTATTTAAAAAAGTGTGTCGTTTAGCCAAATGTAATTATTTAAATGCAAAAATTGAAAATAGTAAAGACAAAGTTAAAATGACGTGGAATATCATAAATAGTGAAACTGGAAGAGAAAAATCCCGGAATATAAATTTTAATTTAAACATTGATAATAAAAAAGTAACATCAGATCTTGAAGTTGCTACAGTATTTGAAAATTTATTTACTGAAATTCCAGTCTTAATTACACAATCTTTGAATTTCTCTTCCACTGTTGCTGAATCTATTTTAAAGGCAAGTTTAAATAATTCTAATAGCCAATTTAAGTTTCAACACATTGATTTTTAAGATATAATAAAATCTTTTAATCAGCTAAAGAAAACGAAAACTGCTGACTTATGGGGTAATTCCATTGAAGTTTCTAAATCGGCAATTGAGACAATAGCTCCAATCTTAGCTTGTATATTTAATGAATGTACTGATTGTGGTATTTTTCCTGAGCTCATGAAATATAGTAAAATTATTCCTTTACATAAATCGGGTAGTACATCTGACCCTACTAACTTTAGACCTATATCCGTGCTACCTACGTTTAGTAAGATTTTCGAAAAAATCATGTTGGATCAAATACAAACGTACTTTTACAAGAATAAGTTTATGAATCGACAACAATTTGGTTTTACAAGGGGTCGCTCGACAACCGAAGCCGGTGTCGAGTTAATACAAGAAATTTTTAATGCCTGGGAGGATTCACATGATGCGTTAGGTGTTTTCTGTGACCTATCTAAGGCATTTGATTGTGTTTTTCATGAAACATTGATGAGGAAACTGCATTTTTATGGATTTAGAGATAACTCATTGGATTTTATTGTCTCATACTTGACTGACAGAGAGTACAGAGGGTTGATATCAATGGCAAAAGATCCCCTGGATCGAAAATTAAGATGGGCGTTCCGCAGGGCTCAATACTTGGTCCTTTCTTGTTTTTGATTTACATAAATGACTTGCCTTATTTCGTAAGGGATGATCACGAAATAGTTTTGTTTGCGGATGACACTTCACTCTTGTTTAAAATTAAAAGAGGGTTACCTCTAAATGACCATGTGAACAATTCTATCGCTAAAGTAGTACATTGGTTTAATGTAAATAATCTTCTCCTTAATGAAGGAAAAACAAAATGCTTAAAATTTGTACTACCTAATGTTAAAAAAGTAGATATAAATGTTAATATAAAAGATAAGAACATGGGCCTTGTGGATACCACAGTATTTTTAGGAATAACATCAGATTCTAAACTACAGTGGGGCCCATATATTGATAGATTGTCGAGTAGACTTAGCTCTGCAGCATATGCCGTAATGAAGATACGTAGGTTAACTGACATAGATACTGCCAGATTAGTATACCTACTTCAGTTACTTTCATAGTGTTATGTCGTACGGTATCCTATTGTTGGGAAATGCTGCCGACATACAAACAATTTTTGTGCTTCAGAAAAGAGCAATTCGATCAATTTATAATCTTAGGATTAGGGACTCTTTAAGGGAGAAATTTAAGGAAATAGACATTATGACTGTTGCTTCTCAATACATATACGAGAACTTAATGTACGTTCGTAAAAATATTAGTTTGTTTTCTATAAAAAGTGATGTACTTACACAATTTTAATACAAGAAATAAAAATAAATTAACGGTGCCTGTCACTAGACTGCAAAAAGTTAATAACTCATTCAAGGGTCTTTGTGTGCGCTTCTACAATAAGGTCCCAAGCAAAATACAACAATTAGATATCATGCAGTTTAAATCTACTATTAAAAAAATACTTATTAAAAAAGCTTATTATAAGGTATCCGATTATATAACAGATAAGAACGCTTGGACTTGAGATGATCCAGCAACTGGATAAGTGATTACTTCTAAACTCATTATCTTGTTTCCATTATTATTAAATGATTATGTTATTATTATAAAACCATAGTTTTTTTTTTTATCTCTGTTTATAATGTATTGATCTGGTAATGACATGGTTTTTGTAAATGTCATTACTTTTATTAGAGCTGGTGAGTTTCTTGCTCGTTCTTCTTATCAGCCAAAAGACGTCCTGAACGAGTGGTAGGGAAAAAATGTTGGACGATTCAAAAGTACTTTTAAGAAGTCTATTTGAATAAAGATTATTTTGACTTTGACTTTGACTTTGATTGGGAATTCCAAATTCAAATTTATACAGCTATTTCAGCTATTTACACATGTAATTATTTGTGTTTCGTTAGGGGGCATTCATTTGTTTTTTTTCTTCTGTTTGTCCTATGTACATCACCCAGTATAGAAAATGGAAAACTTGAATTATAGTGTTAAGTAGGTACGAGTTCCACCGTGGTACCAGTGCTTTGGAAACGGCTCGAAGGCGAATGATGTGTATGGCGGTTGTGTCGTAAAAGAAAACAAAAAAGTGCGTTTTTGGTTCCAACGTTTTCGTTCTGGAAATTTCGACCTGCAGAACAAGCCCCGTGGACGGCCGGAGACCCAAGTTAATAATGAAGAATTGAAGGCTATTGTGGAAGTGGATCCATCACAAACCATGTCCGAGTTAGCTGCAGGTTGCGGTGTTAGTGATAAAACTGTTTTAATCCACTTGAAACAAATCGGAAAGATTAAAAAGTTTGAAAGATGGGTACCTCACTAATTGTGCAAACCGGCAAACGCGCTTCGACTGCTGCGTTACATTATTTAACCGGCACAACAAATTAGAAGAGCTTCAATTGGAATGTCTAAGACATCCACCGCACTCCCCGGAACTTGCTCCAACAGATTACCATTTTTTCGAAATTTGGATAACTTTTTGCAAGGGACAAAATTCAATTCCGATGGGGCAGTGCAAATCGCCTTCAAAGATTTTATTGATTCCCGTCCGAATGATTTTTTTAGTAAGGGCATCAATGAACTCATTGAGATGTCAAAAGTGCGTAGATAACAATGGTTTATACTTTGTTTAAATAAATATATTATATTAAAAAATATTCGACTTTTTGTTCCTCCAATACCAAACACCCATTTCATATGTAAGGACCTAATATATACCTCGGTGGCGTAGTGGATTAGGTGTAGCTCGGTGGCGTAGTGGATTAGCGCCGCGGCCTGTGATCGTAGTCGTTAAGCAACTTTCGCAAGGTTCGGTCACGGGATAGGTGATCAAAAAATTATTATCTCGAGATACTCCGTGCTTCGGAAGGCACGTTAAGCCGTTGGTCCCGGCTGCATTTGCAGTCATTAATACCCTCCAATCCGCATTGGGCCAGCGTGGAGGGTTATGGCCAATGATATTAATATCTCTAGATATGCAATACATACCCAAAAAGTGAAGCTACTAAAACTAAGACGTTTGTCTTAGTTTTTTCGTTTTTCATTTTAATACTCATTCAACTCCCGCCGAGAAAGTACAAAAAAATGCTCCGCAAAAACGAAGAAAAACAGTGGATAAATTACGATTCTCTTTCACAAATACACATAATACGAAAGAATATTAAGTTTCACACTTAAGTCATTAACATTTTTGGCAATAAAAACAAAATTAAAGCTAGTATATAAAATAAAAATATTTAATTTTCACAAATAAAATTTTGACATTTTATCGTCAGTGTTGCCATTGCTATTCACTTTCAATTTTCCCCACAATATGGGAGCCTTTTCTTTTTATTTTACGTGGCTATAATTTATCTAAATATCTTCTTTTAATTAATTATATGGCTCAGATTTAGTATAGGCAAGTGTGCAAATTGTGTTGATATTTTTTTCATACACGCACACAGATGCTAAAGTGGTTTAATTTTTTAAAGTTAATTTAATTTTTTCAAGGCGTGGAATTCGTTAGTTGTCGAGATTCAACTTTTGAAAATACGTAAAATTGAACCTTTGTTTGATCTTTTGTTAACTTTAACAAATGTTTTTCTCTTAAACATTGACTTTAACAAAGGGATTTATATGCACAGAGCCTTCTTTCGTGATTGTTTTTTTTTTTTCAAATAAGTTTTCAAAGTTACAGTATTTTTCTAATTGATTTTATACATATATCTACATTACTTGTTCATTCATTCATTCATCATAATGGGTGAATTTTCGAGAGCTGGCAATACAATATCAATTACCCATTTTTCCGTTCATTCTGTCGTTCGCACATATTCTGTCTTTGTTTAATTTAAGGTTTAATCGTAGATATGAGAGAGACAAATGTAATAAACCAATTTATATTATATAGTATAAATATAATTTGCAAAGCTACGTCTTGATTTCGGAAAAGTGCTACGCTTTTTGGCGCGTCTGTTGTATGGGATTGCTTCTCTAGCAATGAGTTTAATAACTAGAGAAGCAATTCCATACAACAGACGCGCCAAAATGCGTAGCACTTTTCCGAAATCAGGACGTAGCTTTGCAGATAATATTTATACTGTATAATATAAATAGGTACATTATTTTTGTCTCCCTCATATCTACGATTAAACTTTAAATTAAACAAAGACAGAATATGTGCGAACGATATAATGAACGGAAAAATGGGTAATTGATATTGTATTGCCAGCTGTCGAAAATTTCACCCACTATGATTATTGAATGAATGAACGAGTGATTTAGATATATGTATAAAATCAATTAGATATATGTAATGAATACTGTAACTTTGAAAATTTCTTTGAAAAAAAAAAGGCTCTGTGCATATAAATCGAATCGTGTTTAAGACAAAAACATTTGTCAAAGTTCATTAAACAAAGATTCAATTTTACGTATTTTCAAAAGTCGTATCTCGACAACTAACGAATTCCACGCCTTGAAAAAATTAAATTAACTTTAAAAAATTAAACCACTTTTACATCTGTGTGCATGTATGATAAAATTAGCAACACAGTTTGCGCAGTTGCCTATACTAAAGCTAAGCTAAGCCATATAATCAATTAAAAGAAGATATTTAGATAAATTATAGCCACGTAAAATAAAAAAAAAGGCTCCCATATAGTTGGGAAAATAGAAAAGTGAATAACAGTGGCAACACTGACAACAAAACGTCAAATTATTATTTGTTAAAAAATTAAATATATTTATTTAATAAACTTGCTTTAATTTTGATTTTATTGGCAAAAATGTTAATGACTTAAGTGTGAAACTTAATATTATTTCGTATTATGTGTACTTGTGAGAAAGAATCGTATATTATCCACTGTTTTTCTTCGTTTTTGCGGAGCATTTTTTTGTACTTTCTCGGCGGGAAGTGAATGAGTATTGAAGTGAAAAACGAAAAAACTAAGACAAACGTCTTAGTTTTAGTAGCTTCAGATTTTTGGTATGTATTGCGTATCTAGACATATTAATATCATTGTTCTCTAGTTATTAAACTCATTGGTTATGGCCCATCCTCCTTAACCATCCATAAGGAAGGCCTGAGCCCCTGCAGTGGGGACGTAAAAGGGCTGATGATTGAATATTTACCTATTTCGACTTCAAAAAGAGTTATTTAGTTTAATTAATCGAAAATAAATAGGTAATTAACATAAAAAAGGTAAGTAAAGCAAAAAGCTGTTTAAAGTTATTTTTTATTCTGAAGAAGTATTAGATAAAATATCTGTCTGTTTTGACTTCCTGAGTCTTATGCATGCTGCTATTATGATTCCTACGAGCAGTACCGCGCAGCATGCAGCTACAACCACGGGAACCAGTATAGCTATCAGGTCCAGGGTTGAAAGCAAATCCGTAGTGAGTTGTGCGGTATACACTTCTGGTAACGACATGGCCTGCAAACGAAAACATCTGTTTCAGTTTCTGACAATTCATTAAGACCATCATTAATTTATAAAGGATTAGTTCGATGGTTTTTGTTAGTCTTTGACTCCCCCTTTCTAGGTAAAAAAGAAAAATTAGAATCGGCAGATCTTCCGGATCCTAGATCCTTTTTCCCACGTTAGTTTACGTTACCCCGCAGCGGGTTTTATCGAGATGGCAAATCACACTATGACCTCGTCCCTCGGTGCAGGTCTTAGTTGCTAGAGACCTTATTTAAGAATAAGATGATATTTCCCGGCTTTACTAAATAGAAAACTCTCTTGCCCTATTTAATAATTATTACGTAAGCAAGTCTTGACGCAATATTTATATATATATATATATTGCGTCTATATATATATATTCTAATATCCTTTTTATGTAGGTTTAATAACTTCTTATTTACTCAAACAAATGGGTCCTTGTACCTACTGTTATGTAAGAACATAGGTTATCTCTGTGTAATAAATTTTGAAGATTCCTTCTCCTTATAAGTAAAAATAAGAGATGGTCGATCTTCTCTCTTTAAATAGTCTGATCTAATAAACGGATGGCACATTATGGATGTGACATAAATAACGCATAAATTAACGGTAAGATAACATACATTTTCGATGTCAAGGAGAAGAAATGCTCGTGAGAGGAAAGGTTTAGTGTCAGTGTTGCATTTTCCTTCGTAACTGACGCGTTTCATAAATAAAAAAAGAAGGCAGGTTTAAAATATTCCATGTGGAGTGTCCACCATATCTTACATGACACAAACATAAATACTATATTTTTAATATTTTAGGTATAGGTAGGGGAGACCTAGGAGAGTTGTGACAATTTTTACATAAGGGGCTCTATCTCGCTTAAGAAACATTCCACAGTTATGACTCATGTGAATTAGTTTAGCGCCATTCCTTCTGTTTTCAAAACCATCACTAAAATTAATTAAAGTATAATAGTTTCTGAAAAAAATAACAAAATTCAAGTCCACTCCCCTTGTCACAACTCTCCTACCACCGAGGTAAGTTGTGACAGGTACCGAGGTAAGTTGTGACATCATTGTATTTAAGCTATAAGATATAAAAATACCATTACATACGACATAAATAAATCAAGCACGTTTTTTTTATCAAATCAGTACTTTAATCAGTACTATAATAATAAATTTGACTTGGAAAACACACACTGAACATGTTTGCAAAAAGTTGTCCCAGTATTCTTGTGCACTGTACAAACTTAGTAGGATCGCGAATCAGTGCACGGTCCTTACAGCTTATCACGCGTACGTAGTTTCTACTGTTCGATACGGTTATATGTTATGATTATATTTTGGGGATATTCGACTGATTCTGTAACTGCCTTTAAAGCCCAGAAAAAATGTGTTAGGAGCATATTTTATTAAACTAAATATTATGACCCTGCCATCAATCTATATATTCGAAGTTGGTATTTTTGTCAAACAGGATCAACAACTATTTGAAAATAAGACGAGATTGCGTCATCGAGACAAATTGTGTACGATACCCTCTAAGACAGCTCAGTTGAACAAAAGTATCTTTTATATGGCTCCAAAAATTTTTGATAAAATTCCAAAAACAATACGTAATCTGGATAATTGTAATGTTTTTAAAAGAAAACTTTATAAATTATTAGTAGCTAAAACATTTTATAGTGTAAACGAGTATCTAGCTGACAGTACTTTGTAAATGTATAAATACTTAATGAATTAGTTGAATTTTTGACATAACATGTTATTGATTAGATTAGTTGACAATTACTAACCTACAAATATTGTATGCTTTTCAGGCAGATCACGGTGTACCTATTCAGTCCTTGCATCCAATATCTTTATATAACCTGCGATCAACAATAAAGATTGATTTGATTTGATTAATCATCTTTTAATACCTACCAACTAAAACAACATAGTATTAATATTAATACTACAATAATAAAAAAAAATAAAAATAATAATATGATTGATCTCAAAGCGATACAATATTTAGTTAATGAAAATATTATAATTACTTGTTATGAGAATATTCTCATCAGTATAAAATCTTAATCTAATCAGATTCACATTTATGCCAAACGTAATGAAGTTCGTCCCCAGTACAATCTAACTGTGCCTAGCCTTTGCATTCCAGGCTTTGGACTGTCTGCATAGGCTTCAAGGCAAACCAAATAAAAGCAATTATTTTCTACATCTTCTTCATCACTTGTTCTATTCTTCTTATTAGTCTTCTTTGCTTTTTAGGTTTCTTTTTTTTTCTTCGCTTAAGACACGCTTCTTAACATTCTTAGATTTTCAGTCTCTTGTGTATAGTTATTTGGTATTCTCAAAAAAATAAGTATGCGGTATGCCACTATACACCTTAAGTAGCTACTAACACACCAACAAACATCTAAAGTTAATAAAAAAAATGTATAAATAGCCCAGCAGAAATTTGGAGTAAGTTAGGAGAGTTGTGACAGGCTGTCACAACTCTCCTAGGTGTTCAAAATGACGTCTTGGTCCGAATAAAAATTCATATTTTCTAAACACGATGCGCATACAAAAAATCAGTGCCACGTATTGAGACTTAAATAACTACATAACTTAAGAAAAAATTACACACCAATGCACATATACTAAGATATGATATATATTCAAATAATATTTTGAAGAAAAACTTACTTTTCGTAATTTTTTGTACACTGACGATATATTTACGCAACTGTGCCACATGCACCGTCGACAGGTACTGAGTCGTGTAGCGCGTGTCGAGAACGACAAACAAGCGTTAATGCCATCTCGCTTACTATAATACGTAGAGAGAAATCCTCCTTGTCACAACTCACCTCTGTCACAACTCACCTAGGTCTCCCCTACTTTTTCTTTGTTTATCTATTACATTTTGAAATATGTTTGCTAAAAAGGCGACGTGGAAAATTCTTATTTTGAGTTTTATCTATTATTACTCAAAAAAATATGGATGAGAAACAGTATATGAACATATAAGAAACATATGTAATCCACTGACTTCCTCTACCCAGAGCACCGGTGTCAATGTAGTCGTTAATTTCTCAGTGACATGGATATTAGTCACAGGCCGCATGAATATGTTGAATTGAGCTCTTTTAGCACCTCGAATAATCGTCCCTGTGTTCTGAAATTATAAAATATATTAACGCAATGGTTAGTGGTTAGGTCTACGTTGCGGAAATTAAGGACATTTGCTAGGGTCGGTCATAGGATGGGTGACTGAAAATTTATTATCTTGATCTGTGATTTTGTAAAAATCCAGACTCCGATACGAATTCACTTCATTTAGTGAAGAACGTACAAAACAAATTGATTGATTATACGTGTCTAAGATATTCTATTTCTATTATTCGATAATTGAAGTGAATTCAAATTTGGGTTTGGATTTTTATAGAATCGTAGAGCTGGTTCGTTACACGCAATAATACACAGTCTTTAGGAACAATATTTGCTCACTTAGGTACAACATTACAAAATCAATAAAATTACTAAATTCACATGCTCAATTTGAACCTAATAAAAAATTTGGAAAAATTATAGTAGGTAATGGTAGGTGCTAATTTAAAAAGACAAGTCATTTCGAATCTACTATCCTAGGAAACATGAAAAAAAATCAGTACGAATAAGTATTAGGTATTAAGTTGTAAAAAACGAATATGAAACTGAGTGCTGCTTTAGAACAAAAAAAAAAAAATACTAACCGGTTCTAAGTCGACGAATATCCTATGATTGTCGATGATCGGATCCATGCCCACCACTCCATTTCTGTACCGAAAATCGGCAAACAGGAAATGTGGATAGCTTAGCACCATGTACGCTCCTGGAACCGAGAAAATTTACCTATTTCAGTTACCGTAACAATATATGGAAACTAATATTATTCGCTATATTAGTTTTAACAGAGGAAAAATGCGTTATTATACTCCACTCTAGTTGTTTTAATAACTTTTTTACTATTAGGTTGGCAAATAGTCCTTTCGCATATAGTATGCATAAACTTGTAATAAAATCTTTTTGGCTATATACCATTTGAAATGGCTAGTTTTGGTATCATTAAAAAGTATAAATTTTAGAGGAGATAACTCGTAATTAAAATTAGGTAAATATGTGATTTTCTTTTGTTCTTCTTACTGTCAAAATAAGTGCATTTAATGAAGAAGTTCGATATATTTTAAAAGTTTATGACAAAAAACAGGTGATGAATAGTGGACCACGTGCGACAAGAACGTGCGAAAAAGGTCGTGGTGAAAGGTTGATTAGTCTTCAGCTTTACAGAGTGTGGCGAAACCCGGGCTAACACGCTAGAAGGTGATGATATGTGTATGGTGGGATTGGAAGGGCATTTGTCATTATGAGCTTTTATTGATGTGACAGGTTCGATGCTTAGGCAAACGATTAAAAGGCTGATTAGGCTTGAGAACTTGATTTAATTAAAAGTAACAAAAAAAACTTTATTTCGGGTTTGGTAAGTAATTTATCACTTTTTTCTTGAGTTCAAATCTATCCGTCTATCTGTCTGGCTGTCTGTCTGTCTGTCTGTCTGTCTGTCTGTCTGTCTGTCTGTCTCTCTGTCTCTCTGTCTGTCTGTCTGTATGTCTGTCTGTCTGTCTGTCTGTCTGTCAAATTTTCTTTTAGATAGCATGTAATATTTGTATTAAAATTACTAATAACTCCTAAAACCTTAAGATTGAGCTTTTTACATATGAAGTCGCAATCGTATTTAATAATATGCTTATTAAAATCATTTTTTTTTCTTTAAGATAAGCACGCAACAGTTGTATTAAAATTACTAATAACTTTTAAAACCTTAAGATTGAGCTTTTTACTTATGAAGTCGAAATCTTATTTAATAGTATGCTTATTAAAACAAACAATTTAGTCTGTCTTTCTCTAAACGAGCGTCTAAGTATCTACTCTATCCACTCACTGAGTCTCAAGTATTTCTTTTGTTCGTTTGTAATAAGTGTATTTACATCACTCATATAAAGAAAATTTCAGGTAAATCAAATAAGCTTGCATAATACGTGAACAGAGATCAAGGTGCACTCTAGAGGTGGCTCACGGCTGGGCGGGAATTTGTCTGGGGAAGCAATGTCAGGGGCGGCATATTGGATTTTTAACGTAATGATTAAATAAATTTAATAAAAATTAAAAACACACTTTAGAGCGTTGCTCTCAGCGGCTTTTCTAGTGCTTAAAGTATCAATAGCTTAGTTGTAGGGCAGCAAAAAGAAAAGAAATAATGTCTTAGGGGCCTGAACGTTTTATTTTAGGTAAAAGCAAGTATATAGTAAAATAATAACTTTATTGGCTGGGGAGAAGACATTGACGATAACAAAAAAAAAAAAAACTTTCAATAAATCATATGGATATGGATGGGGGATTTACACATTACTTAGATAGATATCAAAGGCGGATCCAGGGTGGTGATCACGGGGTTATTCCCCCCCCCCCCTCCGGCTGGGCCCATAACCTAGGTCAGAGTATAAGAGTAGGTGCTCTTCATACATACGCACCGAAAATGGTTTGTATGTGAGCGCGCCCGTACGTATGGGTAATCGCACGCACACACTTACAAAATTATCGAAGTTATACATAGAAGTTCAAGGCACGAGTGGCAACTCGCCAGTCGTGGCTAATACCCTACTATATAAGTTACTTTATGGCTAGTACGCCGTGCTTGCGTATATTCCGCGTCGCTGTATTGCCGCTCGTTATAAAATTTCTGGACGTAAGCAAGATGGCTTAGAAACCCAAACCAAAATATTGTGTATGCATTTATAAATCGAGTATATGGTATTTCACATTTTTATAAATCAAGTATATGGTATTTCGTTCTTTAGGCATTCGGGTAATTTTTTTTTTTGTGTAGTTATTTACCCATTGAAAGTGTTTATGAATTATTTCTACACAAGATTTCGTAACATATCAATTTGTAGTTTAATTTATTCAATCTCTATGCCCGAATGCCTCCAAATTGAAATAGATATTGAATTGTATATTTGTGTATTAGATAATGCAATAAAAAAATATATGGGCCATTGATTGAAACAGTTTTTACAAAGCACATGATTATTAAAAATTAAGATCTGCATGGTCTTATTTCATTCGTAGCCTGATTATTTGGGAAAAAAATAATATATACATAATTCATTACAAAAGGAATTGTAGTCTGGTCTATATATAAAATTTTATTACAAAAAAGGTAAAAATGCAACATAAGCTGGGAAAAAAAAAATTACAAAGTTGCACGTCGCTCCGGTGGCCCTGTTACAGATAAAATGGATGCCACTTTTTAAAACTACTCTTTTTTAGCATATACTATGCAGCATATGCAGAATAGGCATATCAGTAGTTACAAAAATTAAATTATAAACATAAATGCAATATTTGTTATACAAGTATAGGCCAACCATCCCTCCATTAAAAAACATTAAACATTAAAAAGTTGTATTATAGTTTCCGGATGCTTACCATAACGGGGGAAACTATATTTTAGAGATTGATTGAACATGCATTTCTGACGATTGCATAACCTATAAGCGACAGCCCTACATGTTTAGGCTATTATCTCTCGCTCGGGTCTCGAGTGCACCTACTTATCTTCTATATATATAAAAAAATTGTGTCACGATGTATGTTGCCAATAAACTCCAAAACTACTGAACCGATTTCTATCAAATTTCACATGTAGCCGTATTTTGGTCTAACTTACTGGATATGATAGTTATCATCTCAATTATTCGCTTATGTCGTGAATGTAATCAAATGAAATGTTCTAATTAATTGTTTCTTAAGCAAGTGTTTATTTACTGTTAAGTTTTATGAAAGTAAATTGCGGTAACACCCAATAGATGGCGCTGTGTCCTAGATGGCGTTTATTCTAAAGTAATCTGCGGTAACGTTTCTTTCAAAGAATTTTACGTAGATTACGTTTTTGATTAAGTTTTGTGTTAACTTTAGAACTGTTTTTTTTTTCATCTTTATTTCAAATTGCATTGAATTGGATTAATATCTCTAAAGTTTCAAAGATAAAGTGCTGAAACATAGGTATTGGACATTCGTTGGTGTTTTTTGTATTATCTTCGAACTTAAACATCAAGGTAATTTCATCATCAACTCAAAAAATAACAGCGTTTTTGGAAAATATGATGCCCAAGGTAACTATATCACGCGGACGAAGTCGCGAGCAAAAGCTAGTATATATTTACTTTGACTAGGTAGACCTGTAGTACTAGTAGTATATACACAATGGTTTTATATAATTTTTGTCAAAATAAAGATTTTATTTTAGTACCTACTCTGTAAAAAATCACATATTTAATATAATACATTGTATCGATTATTATTAATATTAATTTCTTATGATTTGACCACGACACTGTGTGTGGAGGTATATTTTTATTTTGCCACTTTTCAGTATACGATATCATGACAACCCTACAAAAAAGACAAGTGTTTATGTTTTCGCATTATGATAGGTGTTGGAGTGGGTGTTGGACATTATTAAAAAGGGGAATTATGAGTTGTGAGCGGATTGATTATGTTATGTTACGATCGATAAACAACATCAATAAGAAAGTTACTTATTATGATAAAGTGTACAGGATTCAGATATACGTTACATACCTAATTATATCTTTACGATTTCATATGACTAAAAATAAAACAAAGTTTAAACAAAACTAAATAATATTAGATTTTTTAGTTTAGCTTAGATATTGGTAAAAATACTTACCTTCTGTACGTATTACCCGCCTATATATTACTATATTATTTACTATAGTAATCTAAGGAGATTAATCTAAGCATATTACTTCAACAAAGACTCGTTTTGTCAAATAGATGTTTTGTGATGCGAATCTATTTATAACGACATACTATTAAGCATATGTAATTAAAATAATTGAGATGTTGTTGAAATCTAAAATTAAAACTAACATAATACAAAATGTTTGCATCTTTATGAATTTTGATTGTTAGTATATTAACAAGGATTTTACGTGATGTACTTTGCTTAAAAAAATAAGGCATATAGTAGCCTTATTTTTTTAAAGCAAAGTAAGAATAGAAAGTATGAACTTTATTAAATAAATACTCATAGTGGAACGATAATAACGCTCGAACTGCTTTTAATTTTTTTACTAAATTTTTTTCGACCATTTTCGTTTTCATAGTTCACAGTTTACATTTTTATTTATTTAATCTTAATTGATTAATAAAATAGACGAATGGCGGACTTAATGTCAAAGAGGACTCGCGAGAGGCCGTCGTCGATGCATGAAGACCTGAAAATGCTGTGGCTGGCAAACATTGGTACAGCAGTTACAGGTACATTTTCTAGATATAACTTCTTAGTTTTAATCAAACCCATGTTTATGGCAAAATATTAAATATGTGAACCAATTTGTTGCCGAACCAATTATGCAACTCTTACAATAATCGTGATGGTTTTCGAAACCGCTTATGGTCCGTATTCTTATGCGAACGACGAAAAACTACAACATCATATCATAAATGGGATATCTCATACATACCTAGAAGTACCCTCAAGAAAGTACCTTAATATAAGAATAATATATCTGTGACGAAATGGAAGTAAACATTTAATTAGTCTAGCTAGATAGTGCGTTCACGAGCATGACACATGAATAATAATTTATCTGATGTTAAATTTAGTTGTGAAAGCAACCTATTAACAAAATTAGTTAGTAAAATCCCTTCAAATTGTAAAACAAAATTTATAATTGGAAAATTAGATGTGTGCCAGACAATATCCAACAATAGATTTATATTTCTCCGATCAGACTCTGTTAT